TGTTCCGCCGACATAGTATTATACATATCATTTGGTATATCATTTATATCAAAGATCCAACAGGCCAAATGATCAACTTTAACAGTTAAATTTCCTGCATCAACAATGTTTTTTTCGTTGATAAATTTCGTCATTGCTAATTTTGCTGCTACTTTAGGACCTTCACTTAAATTTGGGGATAACATTGGACCTCTAATAATAATTAAAACGCTCTTCCAAATATTACCATCAAAATTATCCAAATCTGCGTATTCGACTAATTTTTGTATAAAATTCGCACCACGTTGTAATGTTTGATCACAACGTTCACTTTCCAAGCAAAACCATAATATAATGTCAACTTTAAATTTGTTATCATCTGAATAATTTTGCATTAACGTTAACATGTTACGAAATACTTCCGAGTCATCTCTACCATTACTATCCGAAAATCCTGGTGTATCTATATACCTGTATTTGTCATTTTCATATAATGCGGTTTGTTTGGTTATCGAACTATGACCTTCTCCTGATACTGTATTCACACCAAAAACTATTCGTCCAAATGTACTTTTACCAGTTCCTGTCCCTCCAATAGCCAAAATGGTTTTTGGTCCTGATCCTTTACTTGAAATATGCTAACAATAAAAAAAAAAGGAGCGCGAATTTGTTTAACAAATGAAATTCTCCGAAATTCATTATGTGTTCAATAAAAAGAAATTCCTACCATTTTATTGGAAAGAACAGGTGAGAAGTACAAAAAAAAAAAAAAAAAAAAAAATACCGTCAATAAATTAAATAATAATCATGGTACATTTTATAATAAAAGTCTTATAAATACCCCCCCATTATATTAAAAATTAGGAGTGGTTATTTATCCAAATCCGGAAAAGACAAAAAGGTTGATTGTATGTAACTATTTTCAAACATCAGTGAAACGTGAAAACGAGTGTTTCTTGCAGACCTTGCAGATAAAAGAATTGCTTAAAAGCCAATTGTTACGCCAATGAATATTGTTTCAGCCTTTTCTCTGGGCGCAGAAGCTCTGCTATGCTGATCAAAAAAGGGGGGCAATTGAATTTTTTATGGTTTCTAGATTACAAACAACGTTACGTTCGTTATCGTTTTAATTTAACAAAAAAAATAAATAAACATTACATGTTGAGATCCCCCGGAACACTGGAAATTAAAAATTACAGAACATGGCCAAAAATTGGCTAAAATTCAGCCTAGCCGATTATGTAACCTTATCCATATTTAATCTCCGTTAATTGGTCACAAATCGATTTAATATCTATAATACGATGATAATATAATTTGACAATTTAATATCAAATTTTTTTAGTCGACAGTTATACTATAATTTTTATATTTTTTCTGAAAGACGATTCATGTGTTTTGATACAATTTCAGTTGTTTATTTCAATTGAATTGATAATTGAAAAATAGTATTTGATAGACAGAAATTTTCTTTACTAATGCAATCTTCAATTTTCTTTTAATTTTTTTTAGTAATTAAAATGCTTTATACAAAAAATTTGTTTAAGGTAATAATAGAATAAATATGAGAGATAAATGTATATATATATAAATGGGAAATCAAACAAATTCTAAATTGTCAACTTACAAAGACTAATTTACAGTAATTTAAAAATTTAGAATTAATCTATGGAAAAAAAAAATATATAGATACAAATGCAAATGATGATGATTGAAATGAAATGCTATGCTATGCTATGCTATATGCTATGCTATTATGAATATGAGAATGAATAATGCTTATAATGAAATAAAATGCTTTGTTGTCAGTATGTTATGATTGGTAATTTTTTGGTTAAATAAAAAAAGGTTTGTACAAAAGAAGAAATCATTATCATAAAACTTTTTTTAAAATTTTTCGTCATTACTTCTCATTTCTCTTTGAATCCTTATCAACAAATTGCTTTTTAACGACGGACCTTCTTCCTTGCTTTTTAGCTCGTTTTGCATGAAGCACAGCATCTTCTGGAGCGGCAATGATTCTTTTAGTCATTAACCTGCGGTTTTTAACGGATGACTCATTTATATCGGATTCTGGTTGAACTAATGTTGGAGGTAATATACCTCTTTTCTTAGCTTTATAAATAGATTCTATGGCCCATCCAGCATTGTAATTTAATGGCTTTGCGGAACGAGAGTCTAATGAGGAGGTTCTTGATGTCATGTCGAGTGGTACTGCGGATGTGAATATAGCAGCTATTATTTCGAACCGAGAGAGAAGCTGTTAGAGGATGAGCTGGAAAAAGTAAAAGGGTAATCAAAATTGATAAATTAACTTACCACATAAACACAAGATAAGGATAATGTTTATAATGTTTGTTTTATACATTTTGATTAAAATCGTAGGTAAGGTGTGTTTGAATTACGTTCTTTGAATACGCCAAGAATGAATGAATGTAAAGGAGAATGTAAACTTAAAAGAGCTACCAGAGCTTTGAATTCTCTCAAAATAAAATATTCAAAGACTTATGTTGGAAGCACACCTTTTATTGAGGGGGATGATGGTCGGTGATAAGGGAGGGAGAAGGCGAAAACAAATATGAAATTAATTCTTCAAATTAATGAAGAAGAAAAAAAAGTTTTTTTCCCATATCCAGTTGATAGGGTTGTTATTTATATTATTTGTTACAATGTTCCATGGTAATACCAATTTCTTTGTTATCATGAGTGAGCTATAACTTAAAACGTCGAATAAATCTCAACGATCTATAAAGACATTCCCCATTTGGAGTACAAAGAAAATCAATGTCACTTATATTTGCTTAATTCGTAGGTTACAAAATTAAAATTAAGGTTCCACGGAAATTGGTTAACAAAGAATGCTCTAACCTTATAAGTCGAGAAAGTTGCCGTTAAGATTAACACATAATTCATTTAATTGATTAATTTAATTTGTATTGAACGAAGATGATTTAAAATGCTCAACAAGAAGAAATCGAATTACTTATGCATTTTCAAGATGTTTGGCGTAAAAGACAAGGAAAAAGTTCCTCGATTTTAATAGGAAACTAAAAAGGTGGAATGATGAATTGATCAATTAAGGTTTTTTTGGTACCTTCTTTGTTAGCATTATAAAACGATAAAATAAATTTTTAAAAATTTGTTTTCAAACACTATAAAAAAATAACAAGGTCCTTTCTTTGTTAAAATTTGTAATACTGCATTTACTGAATGTGGTTAAAACAAAAAAAATATATATCTTGTACGAACTCGTGGCCCATCTAATGAAATCCTGATTCGAACGTCACCTTGTTGATTTCTGATTCGGATATTTGCCCTGTTGATTCATAATGACCATTCTGTTATCCAAAAATGTTTAGAATTAACGAGAAATCATGGATAATCGGCAATCGTTCAGCGTGTCACAAATATCTCAACACATTTGAGCCCATTATGAATATCATTTGGAAACCTAAAATATCGGACAGAGTACCCAATTACCCCCAACTTCATCGAATATGGTTTTTTTTTCGGAGTGTGATTTGACGTTATTGACTGAAATTAGTTAGAAATTAATATAATTTTTAAAGAGTTAAATTATTGTTTATATTTTAATTTTGATGATCGTAAATTTACTAAATTCGTACAACATTTACATTTCATACTTTTGAACTAAGTGATTTCGGGAAAGTAAGTTTTTTTTTGAAAGTTTTTTAGCTTCTAAATCGGCAAATAATAATAATAATAATTTCATGTAAATTCTATATACAGTATAATATTTTTGACTATCAACTAGGAAACGGGGACCGTTGTGAGTCCTGAACGAATTATTGGACGAAAATCACGTGGCGGACAGAGAAACGCTCACATGACCGAAATTTACTTAATGCACAGAAATATATAGTCCGCTTCGCTCAGGACAATTATTAGTTATGGATTACTTCCGGCCACATTAGATTATATGTAAAGGTTACAAAAAGGTTAAGCTTTCTGAAGTAAGCTTAAAAAAACATTATTACATTTTTTGAATGTTTATTTGTCATACCTGCTATTATAAGAGTATGGATTCATTACAAAAGATAAATTTTGTTTTAAATTTCTGAATACATTAATTAAGACTTATATTAGTGCTAAATAAATGTATATTTTAAACAATAATATATAAGTATTATTAATAATTTAATACAATAATTATATTTATAGTTTTTGTATACTTAAGTAAATATATTAAATTTCTATACTATTATAAAATATTAGATTAATATAATTATTAAAGAGGATAATATAAGATAAGTTAATTTGTTAATTTTACTTAATAATAATTTTAATTATTTTAATTACTTATTATAGTTTTTTTTTGATTTATTTTTAAGTAATATACTAAAATTAATAATTTATATTAAATAAGTTAATTATTTTATTAGAAATATAATTTGTTTAAATAATATTAATAATATTAATTTTTTTTAATAATTGCATTAACAATTTTTTAATAATTATTAATCATTATATATAATTAATTTAAATAAAATAATTAAAATAAGTTATAATAAATTTATTAAATATTTTAAAAATAATATTTATCATAATAATATATTAAAAGATCAAATATATATATAGTCAAACTTTTCTATAATCACTTTATATATAGTTATATTCTCCTTTATAAGCATATTTATGTTAGCTTAAATTACTAATAAACTTATTAAAAAAACTCTCTTTAGTCATATATAGTATTATTACACAAAAGAAAATATTAATGATAACGATCTAAGAAAAGACGATAATCTCTAAGAAATCTTTTATATCTTATATATCTTCTATATTATCTATACCATATATTTCTTCTATGTAATATATTATTTTTATTTATTTCATCTTATTTATATCATTTATTTATTATATTATACTTATTCTATTTATTATATTTATTTTTTTTATTACTTTGATAACTTTAAATATTTTATTTTATATAAATAAAACATATTTTTTTTTAGTTTAGTAATATGTCTTAGAAATAGATTTATTAAATAGTTTACTTTAATTTCCCTTATATACTTGTACAGTACAGAGCGCTGATTGAAGTAGTATTCAATTATTATCATTATTAAATAAACTGTTTGCTAACTGACATTACTTTTAAAATCAATTATAAAATTAACCTTCTACTTATTATTTGAATTATTGTTTTACTTATCATTTATAAGCATCTTAAAAAATTGATTATAATAGTATTTTATAATCACATAATTTTTTTAGTTCTAAGAGATGTAACTATATAAGGTCAATTATATAATATTTTAATTATTTTATAGTTAATAATAAATTTAAAAATTTAATTATTTTTATTTTATATATTTTTATTTTTATATTTAAAATTATATATATAATTTGATAGTATGTAAAATTTATATGCACAATATACATATGTGTATATTAAATTTTTTTTTACACATATTATATAGCATAAAATATATAAAATATATACAAATAATTACTAAAAATAGATAAATTATTTAAAAATGGAAATACTATATAATACATGCATTCATTTTCTATTTTTAATATAACTTATGTATATGACTTTTGGTCTAAATTTTATAAACTATCTGATATATCATGTATTAAAAAATTTAAAATTAAAAAAAGTGGTTATAATTTTATATTAACAATATATAATAACATGAAATTTTTTATTTAAAAAGTAAAATAAGTTTATTATAATAATAAAATTTAATAAAAGATTTATTT